AATGGAATCTATGCATCTGACAGGAATATTAATGCAAAACCTTGACCTATAATTTTTCCTTTTTTTTCAGTCTGAGTGCACCAGCAACAATTGCAGCTCATTAAAATGGATCATGGCCTGACAGTCGTGCATAATGCCCGTGTCCCGCAAGTCCCTTGGTCTAAACATTTACCTTGCTGGCTTCACTAGCAAGGCAAACGTTTAGACCATGGGATTTGCAGGATGTAAGCATTACCATAGAGCTGCATAGTCCTGCATGACTAGGAACAAGAGACTGCAGGAAACCCTGAAGACCCTTTCTCTCTTTTAAACTCAGTGTTATCAGAGGAAGAGCAAGGAGAAAAAAACAAACCCAGAAGAACCAGTGTGGGTTGGACCTCTGGAGTTCATCTGGCCCATCTCATTGTTCAAAGCAGGGCCAGCTTCATATTTAAATTCAGACTGAAAGCTAGCTCAGTTGGCTCAGTGTTGAGCATTTCCAAGGACGGAGATTTTACAGCCTCTCTGGGCAGCCCATTCCAACTTGGCTCAGTGTTGAGCATTTCCAAGGATGGAGATTTTACAGCATCTCTGGGCAGCCCATTCCAATACTGCCTTGTCGGGGCTCAATCTGGAAGCTATTCACCACATCACAGCAACATCTGGCTCTACTTTCTTAACTGCTTTTTTGATGCAAAGTGTGTGTTGGCATGTGGGATGCAGTAAGTATCAGTAGGGAAGGTGATAGCATCATGCAAAGACAATTCTTTTGCAAGGAAAATAGATCAGAAGCCAGTCCCACACAAGGTGGGGTGAGAAGGAAGGCACTGCAGTATTTTATTCTGAGTTTGGTGCCACTTTTCTATGAGGCACTGCCAGAGCAGTTCTTGAAGATGGAGTAACCAAAGTGTTGTCCAGTTTGGGCTTGGTATTTGGCAGAGACTTGAGATGTCAGGTCTGTGGAGAGCTGTGGTAGAGCAGCAGACACTACTGCATCTCTTTCTACACTGAGCAGTGAGGTCTGTAACCCTCTCTGGAGGCATCTCTTCCTCCCTTCACTCCTGATGGAGAGAGCCAAAGGCAACATGCTTCCTAGCCCTGACACCTCTGATATGTGTGAAGATGGATGGGTTGAACGCAGGCCTAAAATATTTTGCATTTTCACGGTAGTTTCACAGCCCTGGCATTATCTAAAGATCTTTCAAAGTACTTGGAAGCAGGAGGAGAGTAACTTGAGATGGATTCTGGCTTTCTTGTGTCTGTGTACTTGCAAACTGTCTCTGCCTACACATCTTGCAGGGCCTGTGCCTGTTTGGAGATGCACATGGAAAATTGGTGCTTGTGTGGATGCTTCGTCTGCTCCATTTCCCCCCTGAAGTTTGGAGGCTGTTCAAAGCAGGTCCCCATCCCTGGATGGTTAAGATCAGACTTGCCCTATGTGCTGCACTCCACTGACCAGGCTAGTTAGGAACTCGAGGCTGGGAAACACAAGACAGTTTTAAAATCTGAACAAAAGTAGCAGATTAAGGAAACCAGCTGGAAACCTCTATTTTGCTGATTTTGAAAGCAAAATGTGGGTCACAGATGTGCTTCCACAGACAGAAACTGGCTAGAGAAGAAAAAGACATCAGCAGTGCCCAGACTGTTTGATGATCAGAGGTAGATTTAGCTCCTAGGCATGGAGACAAGAAAGGAAGAGGACACAAAGTAGGAATAAAAACATAATCAAGATATTAGGAATGTGGAACGCAACTCACCCGTAAATTTGCCTTAGGGAACTATGAAAAAATGCAGTAATGAAAAAAGATGAAACCAACTGCTAGATCTTACTCTCTTCCCTTCTCTTGCCATCCTTATGGTTTTACTTTGTGCAGTCCAAGACACAGGAGGTCCATGACAGAACCTTCCCTCTTCCTCGGTCATGTTTTTCCTTTGCAAAGAAAAGATCTTTTCTACTGTTTTCTTCTGTTCCCTCACAGTAGCTATGAAATCCTTGTTGAGGACAGGAGGACTTTAGAGCCTAAAAGAACCAAAGCTTTGCAGAAAGCCCACACTGTTAGGAAACATGTACTGGAGAAAGCAATGTGCTCCTGCCCATCTTTGATGGGAGAGAAGAGCTATTACTCACTTCTTGTTTAGTCTAATGCAAAATATTAAATCTATTTTCAGTGAAATTGATGACAGACTAGTAAGTGCCATACTGCTGACTCTTGCAGGCTGTTGATTAGCCTGTGACTTGGTCTCCCAGGGGCTGTAACAGAAGGCCTATGTTCCAGCCATTAAAAAAACCTCAAGGTAAAGCACTGGAAGAGCAATTAAGGACAACAGCAGCACTGACTCAGAGAAGCCCAGGTGGTGGTTCCTTAGAAATGGCCAAGCAGCGGGGGGAGGTTCTGAAAAGCATTCAGAGCACTTGGCGAGTGGTTTCTGGGGTGAAGGGAAGTGCCAGAAGCACTCCTGAAGGTCCCACCTGTGCTGGCCATGACCTAACCTGGTCACTTGGAGCCTTTGGGCTTTGTGACATGTGCTGAGCAGCCGTGGAACATGATCTCCAACTCCTGCAGCAAACTTCCCTCCTGCCAGCAAAACACCAGTCCCTATGGCTTAACACTAAGAGAAGCCTAAAATAAAAGTGATGACCCAGCTCACTGCCTGTCACTGTTGTCAAACTTTGGGAAACTTCAGATTCAGTTCTTGTTTGGAATTTATTTTTCTGAGCCCTAATGAAGACACATTTTGTAGTTGTTAGTGTTTTAAAACCACTATCAGTATCAATAAAGACAAGCCCTTTCCCAGGGTGGGAAAAAATCCAAACAGTCTCAAATCTTTCGCTCATGCAAAAGAAAACAACCCAAAAGCATTGAAGGATTAAATGAAAAATATGCCTCTTTTCACTGTGAGACTACTGGGCGTGAGTAAGTGCCAGTTGAGCTTTCATTTGCATCACCATCTAGTGTGATGGCACTAGGGCCTAGAGGTGCAGGAGGATGTGTTACAGTGCCCTGCCCTGTGACAGCATCTTTGCTGCCAGTGATGGAACCACCAGAGACTCCTAAATACCAGCAGGTCTGTTAATGAGAAGGACTTTGCTATCTTTACCATCCAACCTAGCCCAGAGAAAACAAGTGTCCAGCCACAGCACGACTCAGTGTGGCTAAGGAGAGAGGCAGCAAAGCCCTTCCCTGGCCAGGAGGATTGTGCATGCTCCTCTGGATGCAAGAGATTGTGCCAAAGACACTGAAATTCATTTTGCTGGGCTGCAACCCCACACTGAAATTGCTGTAAATACCACAGCACAGAGCCTCTTCAGCTGATGTCTAGAAACTGCTTGTGGTTTCAGAGCACTTGCTGATGAATTGCCCAGCAGCTGGTCACATTGGGAGGGCTCTGCTTATTATTTTCAACTGCTATCTTGCATGGAAGGAAAATCAAAATACTTTCCTCAAGGTAATTGGCTCTGAAACAATTGAAGAATTTTCCACAAGGTTGTAATGCAATTAGGACTGGCATTTTAGATAATTTATATCTCTAAAGGTATGTTTATGCCATCATACCCTTCTTCTGTGCAAAAGAAAAAAGAAAAAGTTGCTGGCAAGAGAAGGCTGATTTTGCCATTACAGGCAATGAAATATAGATTAAACATGGACATCCACCTAGTACTGATTAAAAGGCAGCATAATGCCAGGATCATCTCTGAGATGTGATGATGGTTGGGTAAGATGCTGTGTCACCAACCACACATCTGCAGGTTTCCCATTCGTTTTTCAGTCAAAGCCAAGTGACGTGTCATCACTCACCTTCTGCTGCAGCACTGCAACAGCTGCTCTCCCTAAGTGCCCTGCCAGCTTGGATGGGAAGAGTTGGTGGAGACTAGGCACCACCAGGACCACCACACAGAACAAAACCAGCAGCCATGCCAGTCATGCTTTGATAGATATCCAGGAAAACTCTAAGCAAAGATGCCAGACAATCCAAACATGCAGTAAGAGCTCCAGAAGTGCATGAAACAGCTGGTGAACTTGTTGACATGGGATATTGTGAAAGGCAAAAAGCATGGATGTATCATTCCCCTGACACCATTGGGAAGTCTCTATTTCCCTGACTTCCAAAAGGGACAAGGGTACAACTGGGGAAGTGATCGCTCTGTGCTTGCCTGTTCCTTGTGCTTATACTAAACCACCTTTTACTGACTCCCACCCAAGACACAGCACAGAGTCAGGAGATATTCCACCTCACTGCAACAGCTGCTGTGACTGAAATCGTGGTAAGTAAACCTCTAGCCTCCTGGCCTAGGTGGAGGCAAAGAGATTGGATGAATTATCCTTACAAATGGGTCTGGACTGAAACTGGACAGGCACTCAACATCTCATCGGAGCCAGACCGGCCATTTATGGGTAGATGTCCTGTCCTTATGACAGGATAAATCAAAGCCATGGATTCAGACAATCACCTTTAAAAAACATCTGGATGTGGTCCCTAATGGTAGAGATGCCACCGACTGTATCATAAGAGTAATGCAATGCCACTGGACAAGCAAAGATGTCCCTTACCCCTGGCTGTAACCCAGCTGACCTATCAGTACACTGGATGACCATAAGAAAAGCTGTACTTGCTGTACAAAGCAGGTGATCACACCCTTCTGTTCTCTATCCAATAGACAAAGAAGCCATCAGTCACACCCGATCACACCCTTCTGTTCTCTATCCAATAAAGAAGCCATCAGTCACACCCAGGGGTTAATCTGCCTCTGTTCACTAGATCTATGTTTGCAGAAACCTACCTTGAGCAGTCTGGGAGCAGTTTGGAAACCTGGCCCTGGGCTCACCACCTGACCCTGAACTGTCCAGAGAGGACATGACTGTCCTGCCTGATTCTTTCTGCCTTGCAGCAGTCTGTGCCACAACACACATTCCAGTCAGTACACAGAGACATGTTCAGTTCCACTGCTGTGAGGTCATCAGCTTGAGTCAACAAGCTCAAATGCAGCTTCTTACATGAAAGACTATGGATGCGATACTCACTACTGGGCCGAGTCGTTAAGTTGATATTCCCGGGACCGGTTGAAGCACTCTTGGATCCCAGAGTCTGCCCAGAGTCTCATCATGGCTGACAGCAGCTCTGGAGAGAAGGGCTCTGTGTCCTCCATCCGACTTACGACATCACAGACCATCTTGGCATCAGCCTGCAGAGGAAAGAAACAGGAGGTCACGTAGATGCTCAAGGCTGAATTTGGAGTCAGAGATTTCAGAAACAGTTCACCAAACCATTGGGAGTAAAGAGGATGTGTTTCTCAGGATGGGGCTTTAGCATCCACACAGTGTGATCCAGCAGAAAGGGCAAAAGGAGGATGGAGCAAGGAAGTCACAAGAAAAAGGCTGTTTGTGCAATCCACCTCGTGTCAACTAATATTTCTATTCAGCAGACAAAATAGTCTGCACTGCACGTGTATGGAGTTTCTTGGGAACAGAAGGAAATTCATGCATGCACAAGGATATTTAAAATTGTTAGCAAAGTGACACATATCCTGCACTGATGCCTATTTTAATGCAGTGTGAGACCTTGCTGAAGTAGGGGCTTTGTATCAGAAAGGATGGCAGAAAGACTCCAGAAACAATTTTTTCCAGATGCTGGTTTATTGCTTGTCCTGAATTCTCATTCTTTGCTCTGAGCCTCTGCTACAGGGGCTAATTTACATTAATACAGACCACCTTGGCTGGCTGTGGTGCTCTGTGACTCAGAGGGAGAGGAATCTCCCATGGTTAAGGGGCATTGCAGTGAGGGCAGAGCCACCTGGGTGTTTTCAGATGGAATCTCTTTTGGTAAGAAAAATGGGATTCGCTAGAACAGCAGCTTTTCCTGAAAGATAGTGCCCTGACACAACTTGGGGCCAGAAGATGTCTCAGATTTCGGATGGGAATGTCTAGACAGCCTTGGAATAGCTGAGTTCAGCCCTACTGAAATATTCCACAGTGGATGATGCTCACTCATTCGTGAAGTAGAACACCCAAATTCATGACCCCCTCTGCTTGCTTTGCAAGAAGTGGATCTTCCACACCCCCCACAGACTCCTGAAAGCCCTGGAGTGTTGGCTAATCTGCAGAGTTTTTCTTTCATTGCTTTGAAAATGTCTCATATTTCTATGAGCTGAAACAAAACAAACCCAATTATTATTGCTATAATTACTAGGAAAAGAGGAGCTCTTATTCCTTATGTGTGTACAGCAAACTCGTGAGGACAACCTGCTTGTTTTATTGCCTTATCTCTTGCCTGCTAATCGAACCCATTCTTGGCCACATGCAGGTAGAAATCTTCACCTTCCAGGGTGTTTGATGTAAACCAGCAAATGCTGACCAGGAACACAAATCTTGCAGAGGGGACTCAGGCAGTGCCCATGCTTTGCTGGGTACAGTTAGAACTGGAGTAGTGCCAGTGTTGAAGAGGACCACAATAACCTAATTGCATGGATGGATATGACAAGGTGTATGATGTGGTTTGCATGGCCGTGATCAAAACACCTCTGTGGCCTCTTTAGTGAAACCCTGAAATTGTGGAAAAATTGCAGGGCACAAACCCCTAGCACTGGAGACTGAAGGTGCTGGAGATTTCATTGCTCAGAGAAAGAGCCTCAAGTCTTCCCAACATCCAGCCTTTATGGGCTGAAGAATTCTCAGTACTGTATGTATCAGTACTGTATCCCATAAAAGTTAATGGGGTGGACTCTATGCTTTGAAGGCTTTATGAACGTAAAGTCTTTCTCGCAGAGCACTTAACTTCATATTTTAGTGCCCAGGAATCCTCCCAGCACTCTGTACAGACTTTGTTCATTTTGGAGAAACAGTATTGGTGACTCACACCTCAAAGCCAAGACAAACTAAGAACCTTGAAGAGTTCAGTTAATTTCAAAAGCTTGTTTTCTGCCCCGGAGTGCTTCGTGAACTCAGTGAATATTCATAAATCATCCGTATGGTTTGCTTGCCCTGCTGGAGCTGCAATTCTGCTCTTTTCACAGACTCTAAATAACATAAAACTTGTTAATGGCTGCGGTCTGGCATGGCCCCATTATTTGTGCATGGGTGCTGCAGGAAAAGCATCCTTGCTTTCAGTCAGGTAGGAGGTCTTTCTGTGTTACCTACTGGGGGGCTATAGGTATAAGTCACAGATGTGTTCATCTGTTTGTGATGGCAAAACACATTTGAAGCTCTCCATTTTTAATGGGAAGGGTCTGGGCTTCTTCTGAGCTTTGCAGATTTAACTGTAGGTTGCTTTCTGCAAAGCATCAGAGGGAATGGCACAGCTGTCATTATTTTCTGTGCTGGGAAATAGCTGCCCTCACCTTTTCAACTGCTAAGACATATGGCAGTCACCTGTGACTAACACCTGCCCTCACCTTTTCAACTGCTAAGACGTATGGCAGTCCCCTGTGACTAACATCCAACACAGGAGGGTTTGAACAGAAGACACAGATGAACAGTGATGACAGGGCAGAATGAGAGTGACCAGAAACAGGCATCTCTGGCTGTGGTTATCAGGTTTTCTTAAGCCTGAAGTGGGACTGAGCACATAGAGCAGGGAATTATTTTGGTACATGCTCCTCTGCAGCCACTGGAGGTCCCTTTTTGGGACAAGAGCATGGACACCTGCCTGCAGGGCAGACTGAGAGTAGACAGGC